TTAAATTATTTCTCTTGAGACCTCCATACCAACCGGTATTTCTGTGCGGCGTAGGAAAAGAATGAACCCCAAACACTGCAATCTCGCCCCTTTTTAAATGCAGAATTTTACCCGTTTAAATAAGAACATTATTACTTGTAGTAAATCTTCAAGTATGGTCTGTATAGATACTAATTAAGGATATTTTAGGAAAGAGACTTTCAATATATACATGATATCGATGAAAAAAAATCGCATATTTCACTGTAAAACTTGCCATTACGGCTATATATAGGCCATTGTAGTTAGCATATGAATGAGAAGGCGGGGCGTTTATCAAGCGTGCTTTAGTATGAATACATTAGCGTGTGTTCGAATTGTACTACGTTTTATGATGAAATGACACCTAAAAGCCCCTTTCCATTAAAGCTTATGATTAATAAGCATATTACATTCACGTGAATGATTATTTCATATTATGTACACATATAATTTTGTAAAATTTGGGTTCCTAACAAATACGTTTGAATTGTGAGGTAAAAAAATATGTGTATGAAAAAAAAATTCGCAAGAAAGTGAAAATTAAATTAACTTATACGTCAATATTATCGCTGCTACATGGATATTAAAAAAACCCTCAGTGTTAGAAAACCCATCAGCGTTAGACAAGTGTAGTTTGTACAGTCCAGATTGCATTGCTTAAAAATTCTCGTCCTCTAGGGGGAAAAAATAAACCATTTCAAAAAAAATACGCCCTTTTTATTCGATTTTTTTTTGTTACATAGTAATATTTATATTTAAATCTTTCATTGTTGTTAGATTTTGTGCCGATGTAAAAAATTATAACATTTGTAGTGTCGTCAGAAGAAACCTGGGGTTTCTCTAATTTAATTACATTTAGGGGTGCATTTTGTGCAATGCTTTTTTTTCGAAAAAATCTTTTTAATGCCTGACACTTCAATTTCTTTTCCGTAAATTTTTTTAATTGGAATTACGCATTATTTTCTAAATGATAAATTGATATTTTTCAAATAACGATCGATTTTTTTTTACATCTTCTAAGAGTCAATGAACGTAACACTGATGTGATGTACATGTATACTTAAGAAGAAACTTTAAGGCAAATTGATAAATACCGAAAAAAATCAAGCAAATTGACTAAAATAACAAGTAAATCAAAAATGTTATAAAGTATTAAATATATATACTGCTTTAAAGAAATTTTATCCCAGGGTACTTTAAATTCTAATTACCATTTGAAAAGGATTTGACCATCGATAGCTTGCAACACTGGACACGATGTCGCATTGATCTGCTCAAAGCATTAGAGTGAATAGATTTGAGTCACGTGTTCAATGCTTTGTTATTCATGAGGTCAAAGGCGGGTTTAAATTTGTAAACAAGGTGCCTTGACTATAGGGACAGGTACTCTTGATTTTGCACCTTTTTGGAAAATAACGTGAGCACACGACTGTTTCAATTTCTTTCATGGATTAAAATGACAAGTTTAACTCTTTACATTGACCCTATTTACTACAACTTGAAACATCTATGCGCTCATATAAAAAATGGGCTTTCAAAATGGGGGTGTGGCCTAAAGTCTATGGGAAATCGATGTAAACAAGGTACCCCTGCTATATTAATCAGATAAATACCCAATTACAGAGCATGTAAGTGAACATCGAAAATGAAATTAATAAACTACAATGTTTGATGAAAAGATTGAGACAAAAATATGTAGAAAATCTTTGAACTTATTTTTTGTAAATTATCGGGAGGCCAAATGTGGACGTTTAAGCGATTCATTCTTTATAACGCGAGGAAACATAATCGAGTGAATTTTGAAAGAGTTCATTTTAAATTGTCAAAACAATAAATTAACGTACAATGTATGAAAACTAATCGAAAATTGTTTTAGTCAACAATTATCCTAATAGTATGAGACATTTTACTTCATAATAGTTCGTCCTTGACTATGGCCATGTTGACTTTAATGACAACACTCAAGACCGAAAGTTGCAGACCGACGAACACCTCTTTAAACATTAAGGAAGAATAATGAAAGTAATATTTGATGTGATTTGATGCTTTTAAGGCAGGAGTTTGGGGTACGTTTTTTCCCTGTTACATTGATACAAACTAAGCTGATTTGCTTCGTATTATGAACGTCGAGAAATCAGGGTATTTTTATTATTCACACTCGTGATCGGACAGTGACATAAACACTTTCCTGGCGTCCGGCAGCGGGTCAGTCCAGTTTGTCGACAGTTTTGTTTTAATTCATTAAATTGGAAGTTTCTTGTATTCAAAATTCGGCAAAAACAGACCAGGAATAACTGCTTTCATCGTTTATACGATAACCTAGAAGTTTGGTCAAGAATGTATTTCTGATTGAAAATTTTATCGATGTGTAAACTTTTTTAAAAACGTGTTCTCTTTCAATCAAAACACAAGAAATCAAAAGATAAAATGAATATTTGAATCATAACGAAATAAAATCCCTTTTTTAGTCGGGGAATTAACTGAAAAATCATCTATATTCTAAACTAATGTCTTACATGTATTTAGTGCCAGAAATATTCATTTCCTTTTTTTTCTTTTTTCAACTTGTTCAAAGTCTATGAAATAATACTGGTTATTCTTGAAATCTAAAATTGGTATTAAGCCTTATTTCGATTTGAACATATGGATTCCTAAATATTTTGAACTATATGAGTGAAGAATCGTGTTTTTGCATTAGCATTAACGTAGGATCGTGTAACGTGTAGAATTGTGCTTATGAAAGTTCGTTCGGTAACTGATTTAATCGTGCGGTAGGCGTTCGGAATAGTTCGTATAACATTATCGTTCGTGTAAGTTGTCAACATTAATACTGCAGCCACTGTAAACGTCTGGCAAGAATGCATTGAATTGCTGATTCTGTGTAGTTAGGGGGACAGAAACCAGAATGTAAATATTGATGGGTGTCAGTTGATTTGTAGAAGATATCCAATGAAAGTTTGGTCTCTTCTTTGATGACAAAAACGTCGAGACAAGATATTTTGTATTGATGCTTTCCATTGAAAATTTAATGTTTGAATCTAAGTCGTTTAATAATTGGTGGAAAATTGATAATCTCTCAATGTTGTCATTTCATAGAATGAAACAATCATCTAAAAGTGGTTTCAACTTTGATGTTATTGCTTGAGTATCCTCTTTTTCCCATTAGATGACTAGTTATTGATTGAGTCTTTGCTCGAGATATGCCAAAGTAAAAATGGTATACGTAGGAGCCACTTTTGATCCCATAGCTGTTCCTTTGGTTTAAATAAAATGCACAATTCCAAAGGCAAATGTATTGCTTTGAAGTATAATTCTTAATCCTTCTAAGATGAATTCTTGCTCAAAACTATTCTGTAGTAAGTTTGGCATCTCTCAGTCCGGTATTTAAATCTTTTAATACAAAATTCCACAGATATAATTTTGTATAAATTCACAACGGAGATTTACACCAGTTTCGTTTTAATAAGGTTGAATATGCTCAGTAGGGTTGATAAAATCTATATCATCTCTTACAAAACTGAGAACCCTTTCACAATAAGGCTTTAATACAATGTCTAACAAGTGACTAAGTCTTCGAGTTGAACAATTAGGCCCTTTACAATTGGCCGAAAAAAGAGATCTTCAGGATGAAAGAGCAAATATATTCTCTTTTCTGAGCTTGAACATTTTGCAGATGACTTATGTATTTTTGGCAATCCGTAATTTTTTATCAACGTTTTTGGGAAAGCCTTTCTCTTAGGTAGTTATATCTCCCGAGGATAGCCCACCGACAAGTTGTTTATATTTGCTGAAGATTTTTTTCTTGTTTTGAAATAATACTCACATAGTAGTTGGGGTCCTGTGACTTATTCAAAATCTTACGTCGTTCCTAATGTGTTTTATTCATGATGACTCCTCCACCTCCTTTCTCGGCTTCTTTGATAGCGACACTTTAGTCATTATGTAAGCCATTAAAGCTTTTTGCTCTTCGTTTGTGAGATTAGATCTAATATCTTTGTTAGTATAAGGGAGGTTACAGTAATATTATCCAAGATTTCACATACCAAATCTAAAGTTCGATTTCTACCTCGTTTTGAAAAAAAGAGAAATTTACATGTATTTTTACCAGGTCCTCTTGTTTCTAATTTTGGCTATCTCCCGTTGGTTTGTCGTCATCCTTGTACATGTAAAAGTATTCCCTTTGTCGTATTGGCATTGTGTATTCCTTAAAGTTTGTTTTTTTAGTTCTTGGTTATTCATACATTTAAGTGGGGTGGGTGTATATTTCAAGCCTTTAGACAATAACTTTATCTCTGCTTTAGTTAATATCATATCTAAAAGATTAAATACATTTGGATCAAATTCTATTGCTTCCTACGTTTTATTTATTTTCTTAACATCAACTAGACTTGCCTTGCCTGTTGATATAATTGTGATATGTGCCTCTGTATTTGGTAGGGCTTGCCGTCCCCGAAAATACATGTATAGCGCCGCACATCATGTTCGATGAAAGTTGTTTTTTCCTTTTCTGTAAATGTTTGAGGGTTTGTACCGTCTATTAATCTGTTAGTGATTGGGATTATTATTTTCTAGGTGGTTAATTCCTTGTTGGCAATTTCTCTTAAAGTTTTGGCTTCTTTGGAAAGGAGTGGGGCGAATTTTGTTTCGAGTAATTAAACGAGTGTAATGGCGATGTAGATTTTGTTTTGGGGGCAATTAATGCTTGATTTGCTTTCTGATTTCTCGTGGCATTGAGATTCGATCCAGTCCGCATGGTATCACTATTAAATGATTTGTCCTATTCCTTTAGACAATCAGACTTCCATAGTTTTTGAAGCATCTCTAGACTTACTCCAGTGGCGTTATTCTTCAATAATAAATACAACTCTTAGTCTAATCTCAAAACATTTCTCTGATTACCGGTATTCTTTGCTCTCATCCGTATACACATGTATGCATTCATATTGACTTTCTGATAATGTGTTTGTAACAATTTCTAGATCGATTCTCCATACTTACGGATGACGAGGTGTCAGTGTTATTCTGTTTTCTGTGTTCTGACTCCAGTTCTCCTAACTTCAATGACACAGAGTTGCTGGACTTGCTTATTGGGGTAAAACAGGAAGTGTACCTTAATATGAATCCTGTAACAAGTCAGGAAGCACAGCGAACTCTGAACAGACTGAAGTCACCTGATTATGGATACCTTTGGGAAGATCAGGACAAGCTAACGAAGGACACAAGGGATAAAACAATGGATAGGGTATCATCAATGAACACTGATATACCATTCTGGTACAGTAACTCTGGCACAGCCAGTGCGTACCTGAGATCAAAGGGCTACAACAGAAAATCTGGAGAAAGGTGTGTAATTGGTGTTGGCTGTGATTCTTTACTGATACATCGTCTACAGATGAACATACTGACTCACGTCACAATGGAAGACACGAATATATATCCTGAGATATGCCAGATATGTAAGTCAATGAAAAAAAATGTAATTAGATTCAGATTATGAAAAATCCTTTAATTGATAAATAAAATTCCACAGATTGATAAAAATAGGGTAAAAAGGTGGAAATAGTGAACAGTGATTGACTTCAAAAAAGGTTACAAACAATGCTTATCTGGAAAAAGAAATTTAAAAAAATGTACACAAAAGGCATTTATCGTCTGTATACTGTAGAAGCACAAATTTTCGTGAGCATTAAATTTCGTTGTTTTGTCATCAAAAATAAATTCATGTGCATTTATTTTCGTTGTTTCGAAACTAACCCTTTTCAATATATAGTCATATAAAATTTCTTGTGGGATTTAATTTCGTTGAATATTGTTAACAACGAAATAAACGAAATATAATCCCCCACAAATAGTTGTGCTTTTACAGTACTTTAATGTATATCTATAATCTTAATTAAAAGTTTGGTTGAATAATAAATGTAACCTTGTAACAATGTCCAGTCATATTTTTCTATAGTGAATGTTTCAAATCAAATGCTAAAGAAGGGTGAAGCTAAGCGAAAAGATTTTCTAATGGATCTAAGAAAAAAAGGAAAGGATGTTAAATTCAGAAGAAGTTTACGGGACAGTGTAGATCACGTGACATGGCTCTGGAGATACGGATTGTACGCAAGACCTGACATCGTGAGATCCTGTATTGGCCTCTATCCACACAATGATATTTACATCATAGACAACAAAGCTTACAGAAAACTAGGTAAGAAGATATACAGCTGTATATTTAAAATGTTATCTTTTTAAATCAATTTACTTTAAGTTCATAACGATAAAAGAAGATGGGCCAATAAGGCGGGCAGAATGCCTTTAGCGTCCGACATTTAGAAATCACATTTGATATGTAAATTCAGTATTTAAGGAATGAATTTAATAGCTACCCATTTTATACGGTATAAACTGGGTTGGGGCAGTCTTGGCTTTATAAACCGCGAAGCGGTTTATAAAAAAGCTTAAACTGTTCCAACCCAGTTTATACCGTATAAAATGTGTAGCTATTAAATTCATTCCCTATAATTTAATTTTCATTCATTTGATGTAAGAAGAAAACGATGATTGTACAAACAAAATGACTTCAATTTGTACAAAGTTTGAATGTAACGTCAGGCGGATTAATACGTTTCTGACGCAAGTCCTTGTGACGTAGGCAACCCATTTTATACAATATAAAAGAATTTTTTTTCCAATCAAATACAACGTTACAACCAGAATTAAATTATTTAAATTTACATCTCATTATTGAAATTTATGAAATTTTGAGGAAAAAAAAAACATTTTCTGAGAAAAAGTAAACACTTTAAAAAAATTCATTCATATAGATATTCCATGGTATTAGTGGGATTCTAACCCCAGCAATAAAATACCGAAGTATCAGACTGCTTTGAAACTAACGCGCTAACCACTACTCTACATGGCTCATGTGTTGTAATGGCATTTAAATCATGTTTGTGATATGACCCTTTTCTTAATGGACTTGATGTATTTCTCGGAAAGATGCGAATGTTTTGTCATAAAGTTGTATTTTTAAGGTATGAGGGTCTTTCCTCCATATTTTGTAAACCAAAATATACTCACTTGCAATGGAAACGCAACACCCTATTTTTAGGTTGAAAATTATACATGTATTCGAGTTATAACTATGTACCAAAAAGTTAGGACAACTTTTACTTTGCCAAATCAATTATTTAACGGTTGAATGAATTTCTTTCCACTACCGGAAGTTGCTTTCTAGCCATCTTAACAGAAATCAAAATTTTGCATTTTTAATAAAACAATTTAACAATATTTTGGGTTTTCGAGGTTTTGTAGCTGTTAATCATAAGTATTGTACTAAAAGGCCGGAGAGAAAATCCTTCTTTCTTTACCGGAAGTGATGCCTATATTTCCTCAAAATGATTTATTTTCCTTGCTAATGCTAAAAATTCTCAAAATAAAGAAAAAAAAGTGCAGATGCAAATATACACTATACAACTACTCATCAGGCTCATGTGTTTCAATAGCATAAATGAAAGTTTCTTGACCGGAAGTCCAAAAGTTGCTACACTACACCAAGTTAGAGAAAATTCGACCATAGTATCTGAAAAATGCTTTTAAAAATGCCCAAGTATATTCATTTTGCTCAGATTAAGATGTCTATAAACCTAATGCATAGTAGAAATCTGGCTACATTTGTTGTATATGGCGGACTAGCACGTTTTAATTAAATGGTCGGAAGCGGGGTGTTTTAAGATTTACATGTACCTGGTGTTTGTTTCTTTCAAATATTAAAAAAATCATTTAATGTTTAAATGGAGCATTCATGTTTTGTAAATTTACTTTTGAAGATATATTTTCTTTTTTAATGCTATCATTAAACTTTAGAAGGTATTACATAACTCTTAAAACATCCCCCTTTTGCTTTCAGTAATTTTAAGGAAATATAGGCATCACATCACAACTACTTCCCTATAGAAAGAAGGATTTCATCCCGGCGTTTTAGTACAATACTTATGGTTAACAGCTTCAAAACTTTGAAAACCCAAGATATTATTAAAATTTTATTAAAAATGCAGAATTTTGAATTCTGTTAAGATGGCTAAAGAGCAACTTCCGGTAATGGAAAGAAATTAATTCAACTGTTATATAACTGATTTGGCAAAGTAAAAGATGTCCTAATTTTTTGGTACATAGTTATAACCTGTATATAATTTTCATCCTAAAAATAGGGTGTTGCGTTTCCATTGACGGGGAGTATATATATATATATTATCGCAAACTTTTAGGATTATCTTTCAAAAAAAAAAAATGGAGCGAAGCCCCACTCACATTGAAAGATTTTGTTAAAGTATTCATTGATTCATTGAGAAACCTTTTGGTGACCCTTTCAATGAGTTATTGCCCCTGGAAGTTCTTGAGTTTTACAAATAATGAAAAAAAAAATAAAATGAGAAGTCGTAGAGACATGGAACCAACTGCATAAGAATTATTGACCTTTGACCTTAAAATTATGTAAATGTCAAAGGTAAAAGGTCATTTCAAAAATGAGAAATTGGCTATTTTTATATCTCTTTTGTCTTTTATCATATACTTAATGTCTATACATCATTAATATGTACTCTTAAAACTGTTTTAAAGATTTCATTTTTGTCCCCTAACAATAACCCCTTTAAAAGTTATTGCACCTTGTGCAAAAAACCTTGTTATCGCTTCTCCCTCTAAACCGTAGACCTTAGAGACACCAAACCTTCGCTAATGTCTTAAGTGTCTTCACCGTATAAGTACAAAAGGATCTGATGACCCCTCATATGAGTTATTGCCCTTTTACTTCTTTGTACTTACGATTTATCCTTATGACTTAAAAACTATAAGTTTTAAAAGCATGGGTTCAATTGTATTGTGACCCTTGACCTTTGACCTTGAACATTTCTTCAAGGTTAAAGGTCAAGATCATTTTTTTTTAATTTTTTATATGCTTTAAGAGAGTTTTGTTTCCTTTTTCATGGAATTTATTTTTTTGGAAACAGATATAAAACAAATTTGAAATACAAAGAAGGTGGAAAGACCTCTTATTGTTCTGTGAACAATAAGTCTCCTAGTTATATATTATAAATTGGTTAATACTTGGAAATCGGAAATGATTAAAATTCGAAAGTGGTCAGGACTGTATCTTATACAATCTTTTACAAGGAATGCGTATATTTTGAACATGAATATCTAATTAATAAACTAAAAAGACATGTTTATTGATTGCCCGTCATTTTGACTGTAAACTTTTCAGAGAGTTTTTCTTCCCCCGGTATATAAGGGTTCTGGGGGGTTAAAGGAATTTTTTTGGTTTAAGGACGGATGATACAAACAAATTTTATCTTTGGAAGAGATTTAATATCATGTCACAAGTTTAGAAAAGTTGATAATTCTTAGATTTTTTTTTTCTCCTAAGAATTTGAAAATGAAATAGATTTGGAAAATATTACTAATATTTCAATAAAATTATATATATAAAAATGGATTAAACACACTCGGTAAAGGTTTACAGATGAGAATAAACTTCAGAATATATTAACTTGTTGCTAAAAGTGTAATATACACCTTAGAAAAATATACCAAGCCAGGTGAATTTTATGAGGAAATGCAAAATGGTAAAAATCAGCTCATATAATATAGGGTGATTTTTACTATTTTGCATTTCCTCATTAAATTAACCTGGCTCGGTATCTATTTCTAAAGTTTATATAACACTTTTATCACCAAGTTAACATATTCTGAAATTTCTTTTCACCTGTAAACCTTTACTGAATGTAATTTGCCAATATTTGTTTTTTTATTGAAATATTAGTAATATTTTACAAGTCTATTTCATTTTCCAGTTCTTAGGAGGAAACATTCTAAGAATTATCCACTTTTCTAAACTTGTGACATGATATTAAGTCTCCTCCAAAGATAAAATTTGTTTGTATCATCTGTCCTTAAAATCTATATAAACCATCTATCCTCTTTCCCCTTATCCGTATGGATTATTCGCTTCTGACAATTACCGTCTTTAGTTATTGTCACAGATAGTCAAGCGGAGTTACTTTTTCTTACAAATTTTGAATAAAACTTAATCGCTTGTTTCCTTTCATACAATTTACATATTTGATAATTTTTTATAAAAATGAACAAAATCATTGTGATTGCTGCTGTTGTCCTGGTGTCCAGTTGCGCCTCATGCTTTCCACCTCAAATCACAGGCTGGAGGATGGACTTTACGTTCCAAGGGTGGCGGCCTATATACACTACACTCCAAGGGCACACTGGGCAACCTCACTGTCGTACTTTGACGCTGGAACCTGCTCGTACACATGAGTTTTACTTACAAGCTTTAGGGGCTTTACACAAAAAATACTTTACACTCATTATACAATCATAATGAACACGTTTTACATAGGTCTCAATTACACATACTCGTGGGAAGTTATAATTATCGGAGAACTCCTACACAGATGCAATATTACGAATTGCTACTTTACAGACAAACTATTATGACAGCAATTGTACACTGTAATTTTAAATAGTCAAATATGTGCTACTAAATCTATACGAATCGATTCAAATGAAACATACAGCTCAACAAACTGTTCAAGCTCGCATGGTTTTTCGCACAAATTAAGGTCAGATTGATATGATATAATATTGTGTATCGAGACAACAAAATACATTTTAAATGCATTTGTTTACATAATGTGAGTTTTATTTCATTTACTTAAAATCAATATATAGAAGTTTGATATATTTATGGCTGAAAAATAAGAACTATTCTCATTTGAATTTTTGTAGTTTCTTGCCAATTGTACAGGTTGGGCACAACCTACCAAATGGTCCTTTATCCCCGTTTGGTAGACAATCTACCATATCGGTATTGAACGAAAAGCACACTGGATTGATAAAACACTATTGATTTGAAAATAACATATTTACAAACGACTTAAGTAGATAGTACCAACATTGTCTTTGCCCTTAATGGCCTGAATTCTGAACCTGTAAGGTTGTAGGCTAAGTGCGCACCTCATGAGTTTTGAGTTCGTTACTTGTTCAGATAAACAAGGGGACTGTGGCCCGTTTCTAACACGAACTCTTGCCCATACAGATAGTTTTGGCATTTTTGAATACCCCACTACTAGGCACTCTTTCTCAACTGTTGCATACTTGCACTCACTCTCTTTAAGTTTCCTACTAGCCTATGCA